TATACATATATATATAATTAAATAAAAATTTATAAATAACATTGCATTGTAAAAATCAAAATTGAAATTAATAAATGAAACTTAAAGAGTAGATCATTGGAGACATCTTACATTTGGACCTGACCGATCTACCATGCGTAAGCCTTGATCAGAAACTTCTAAAATGCAAACTTGGCCAGTAGGAGAATTGCCGTATTCGCCAACAATTTTCCGTACGGCTTGACAGACTACTCCAGTTCCTTTATGAGCTAAAGTTTCAACGGATCCTAAGTAGCCCAATAGGTAACGTTCTTTCTTAACTTGCTGCACAGTGGGGTCAAATTCATTGTAATCCAGATCGACCGCGTAGGCTGACGGGAAAATGCCCTGACGACCTGTTCGTAAATTTACTCCCTCGCACCACAGGTCGTCGGCCTCCTTTTGCACATAAATAGGATCGCCAATTTCTATTTCTATTTCATCGTGGTGTCGGGGTATAAATTTGTGCAGACCACGATGTGTAGCTTCGAGCATTTCCAATTGAGAGAAGGGAACACCGCCAAATGGCTGCGGGAAAGGCGATTGTGATACTGGAGATGTGATTTGTGGGGACATACTTTTAAAGTCATTGGGTGAATGAGCGGTGCTATGGCCACTATCTACATCACCTAAGCTTTGTAAACGTTCAGAATCTGGACTTGAGTCCTCATCAAGTAAATAACTATGTCTTAGCGTAAGAAATGATCGTTGATTTTGACGCCATTGAGTGCCGGCATTGATTGCATTAATACGCCGACGGCAATCAGAGTTTTCAACAGTCGCATCGTCTGGCAATGTGAATTGCCCCAGACCTCCACCTAAAATATGCAAAATGGAAGCTGAAAAGAATGTTTAATTGCATATAATTTTAGTGTACGTACGTACTGATTGTATGAATGTAAGTATATGTGTGCATGTTGGCGTTCATTTAACTGCCAATTAACATAGGATGGATTCATAATAATTGACAATATTTTTGATTAAATGCACTTTTATGTATCGCATATGTTCTCGGTTACACTCACATTTCTTATTTTTAGGAATTTCTGGTAATTTTCTTCGACGTCTTTGCTGCTGTTGCTGTTGCTGTTGTTGCTGTTGCTGTTGCTGATTATTTGCATTAATATGTATTCCAGTTGCGGTACCGTTTGGCGATAATTGCTGCGAGTCAGCCTGACTATTGCCGGATCCCAAATACGTCAGACCACTAATTGTATCCTGATGATTTAAAGGATGATGATGATGTGAATTAAATGAATCATTAGTATCTAATGAGCCATCGGAAGATAACGACACCACTCGTAAACCATCCCCAATTTCATCATCTTCAACGTGTCTCGAAAGTTTGGTATCCACATTATCTTCTTGGTCTGATGTATCACTTTTCGAGGAAGGAGAATCTTCGAAATCGTCATTTGGAATAAGTCTATAAATGTTGAAATGCCAAAAAGTTAAATTGCGTAATTATTATCATAATATTTGGCAATATTTGAAGCTAATATATATATATATATATTATATAAATGTATGTATATATACATATATATTTATGAATTTGTATATGCGTTTGCATAATTTTACACATGTGTGTGTATGTGTGTTTAAAAAATTGCGTACGTTACGTCCTTCATGCAAGACAGTTATGATATATACACAGTATCCATACAACATGCGTAAATGAACAAAAAAAAAAAAAAATTAATTTTATTTTAATTTTATTTTATTCCGGTTTTAACTTACGAATAAAATGCATGAGGATTCGATTTTTTGCCACAGCTACCAACAGTACTACTATATTTTATGGCATGTGGTTCAAATATCGGTCGATGAAATTCTTCAAACTCAACATCTGCCATTGTTCAGTTTTTTTTTGATAAATAATTTTTACTGCTTAGAAAATTATTGCACAACTTTTCAAGTTAAAATTCTTCGTTTTTCGTCTCTTCAAATTCGTTCTGTTTTATGAAACGGATACTCAGCAAAATTCAGATCCATTACAACTTCTTCTGCAGTTTGATGTATGTCTAGTAATGGCAAAAATCGATAATTTCGCTTTCGCTGCAATCCTTTACTGTTACTTATAAGGGTAGGTTTGTTGTAGGTTTTTTCAAACATTGCTAACATTGCTTAATATATAAAAATTGGAGGGAGCTTGCGCAGAATTTATTATCGAAATGAGGGAATCGTCGGTATTTAATATCATATTTTTTGGCTTATGGGGAAATTTTTCATTTCAAATCATTTAAAAAGGAATGCAACGAATCCTAAATTTAATCAATCGACACAGATTTCATAAAAGAGAGTAAATGTTTAAATACTTTAATAACTAATGAATTTCACGGTATTGGAAAAGGTCATGCGAGGTAAAGAATATCTTCTCGATGAATTTCAGAAAGTGCGAGAGGACGATCAAAAGATACACATAACAGAATGCAATGCAAGTAATCTATGTATTTGTTTCATCTGAAAAATGCTCATATATTTGGGCTTACCTCCCCTGGAAATATCATATATATATATATCGCATATATATATATGTATATATTTATGCAATAGAATAGAAATTTCAATCAAAGATGTTTATCGCATCCCCGCATGTAATGTGTATGTGCATACCGACTGCCCACTTACAAAATTAATGCCATTTTTCGAATGTCGTTAAATGAAAGACATATATCGCGATTGGCCTAAGAGGATGTTAAAGGATACGACATAAGTTACTGTGGTCGTTATTCATGATTCGGAAAAACACATGCACTTGTTGAAATGAAAAGAAATAAAATAAATAAATAAATTCCCCGGTGTAAGTGATTACTTATGGAAATACATACATGCACACACACACACACACACACTCGTATGTTAGATAAAAGCTTTCAGTCAATTACATACATTTAGTGTAGAAATCTCTACCTATGTGTATGCATAGTTAATGTTCGGACAACACTTAGGCATCTATCGCTCAGATCATTCATTTATTTATGTTTTGATAACGGATGCATTAAATATTTCTAGTATCGGAGGAACAGTAATTGAACTGATTTCACCAAAACTTTCATTCGTTACAATTAATTTTCTTTGTCTATCAGACTAAGTATTGTACTAAGTGTGAAGTGATTGAAGTCCAGGGGAACGGGTTCATCTTTTGCATTTACGGACATTGCTCTCGATACGTCCATAAGTTTACCGTGATTTGAGAAAACCTGAAAGTGATTTATAAAACCTAGAAAAATACGAAACCTAGGGACTTGTTTGTGAGATTTTGTCTCTTTATGGCCGTCGATCCATTTCGCTCTTACAGATATTTCATATCGAAGACGTACTTTTCCTCTTGATTTTAAAAATGTTTACTTAAATCTCGAGTTCATAGTGCCCTGTATATAAATTCCTGGCATTACAAACATTTTATAAAATGTTCATCTGACAGCTCAGTTCGCATGAGTTCTGGTCATGATATTCTTTTCGCATTTTAACTGTTTTAAACACATTCTAAGATGTCCTGAAAAGCTGTAGAAAAGGGCGATTATTGAAAAAGTCAAAATTTTAATGTTTGAAAAGATACATTTCCCGAAAATATCTGCGGAATCATATTACAAGCATTTTGATACTCGGGCGAACTTGGCATGAAGATACATTCAGGAATTTCGAAAGCGTTTTTCCTAAACCGTATTTATCGATCTTAGTGCATTCTCCTCCTCCTCCTCCTCCCTAAATTGGTGTTCGATTACTATAAGATTCGAACTGGTTGTTTTTTTATTCAAAAAAGTTCTAATTCGACAAATTCCTAATATCCTTACCAGATTTTGTGTTATAATTTCGCAAAAATTTGATTTGCTGATTTGCTGTTCCATGGAAGAACGTCCGCAATGTGCAACAAAGAAACGGTTAAGGAGTAGTCGGGCAATGCCGACTTGTAGATACCCTACATAACTTCGCCTAACACAGTTATTCACTCATTTTAGCAATAGTGCACCAAAATTTTAATATTATTTACCCGTAAAGGCATACTTTTGGTGAAAGACCGCATATTAAAGTATGCTTGATATGTGAGGATATACAAAAAATGGAACTACGTGGTTTAAATTGGGTAAGATTGATTTCCAAGTCAATTATGAACTAATTTTCAACATCAAACATTGAAAACTTAACACTATCTAAAATTCAGTCTTCGTAGGTATGGATCTGTGCGAGGGGATTTCAAAGAATGAAGCTAAGCGAATCAAATTCATATCGTTTTAGAATGTCCAAATATTATTGCAAAGCGCGTTTTGTCGAGAAATTTTGAATAATGCAATTTTTCAACACCGTCGAGAAGGCGTCGCGAAGGTGGACCGATCCAAAACATTTTATAATAGCGGTCGTCTGTGCGTCAAAGCACGTCAGTGCATCAAGTTTTATCAAAATAACGCAAAAATTGCGATCTGTAGCTTGCACAAAAATTTGCATGCGTTGACAATCAGGCGGGCGGACGGGCTTAGGCATAATACCAGGTGAGGTTATATTAAGCTCTTCTGCGTGTTACGCACGTCCGCATAAGTTTAATATACTTTATATCACAAAAGGTACCAACTTTGTTTTTGCACATTCAGCACATTACAGCGTTTGCCGATCTATGCAACGTCCGCGATAAACAATTTCGTGACCGCAAAATTTACGATATCGGTTTCAAAAATTTTGCAATATTTGCAGATATAATATTGGGTCGATGTGGCCAGTCATCGAGAGAAAGTAATGAGTAAGAACAAACTCTATTTATTTGGCTTAGAACACAAAGGCTTTCTCGGTCTATGTTGTGCTAAGGGAATGCTGTTGCACCGACTTGACTCTTTTCGAATATCAATTTGTTCGCAAAATTTCCATTGCTTTTGCAAAATCTGGCGGCGCTGTCTTCATTTTTGTTTCTACGAGAATGTTTAATTCAGAAATTGTACAGACGGACAGTCGGATATTCTTAAATCGACTCAGATTTTGATGTTGATCAAGAACATGTACATTTTATAGGGCATCGGGGGTTTTCTTGTTGGTGGTGCGCATAAAAGTTTTCATTTGATATACTTCCTCTGCGTGATCGGAGAGTACGTGCGCGAAAGTGAAAAAAGAACGGCCGCGGTTGTCCAATAGGGCAGGGTAACAAAATTAAAGTTTTTGGTTCTCTTCTTCTTCTTCTTCGCCATCATTTTCCAAGATAAAAGAGTTGAGTATAAAAGAGCCGGTACTCCACGAATATAAACTAATTCGGGTTATAAGATTCATATCGGGCGAATGCAGATCCAAAAAAAATTATTATTATAAATGAGTGCTTGCGTAGGTATGGGGATAGTTGAAAGCTAGAACAGGGGGAAAACATAGTTTCTTGTTTGTGTATGTTTTCTTCTATTTTTTAAATCTATAAATCATTGGAGAAGCCCGCATTGAGATCCAGTTTTGAAAGTCAAGAACACACAAAAAAAAAAAAAACAAAAAAACTTGTAATTAAATAAAAAGTGTATTATTGTAAGTGTATATTTTTTAATACACGCTTAAGATAAGAAAAAGAAAAAGTGTGGTGGGGGAAAGAGTTCGCATCCAAATTCACGAAAAACTATTGCCGTCGTTATTCTATCGAAGAAGTACATGCACATAAACTTTTGTGATTACTGTTTTTGTAATGATTAAGGCAATCAAAGTTTCTATAGAAAATGTGTATATGCGTGGGTAAGTGTGTACATACGCATCTACATAAGTACATGAACAAATACGCACTCTTCAAATGGAAGTCGCCAACCAGCAACAGTTACCCAACAAAGAGCAAACAGACTGACTGACATCGAACGCTTCAATGCAGGGTTCGGTTCGCACTGGTACAGCAATCCTTTGTATTGAACTTTTTATAGCAATAGCGAGTTGCTGGCATAAGCAATCCGATGGTATTTTCTTAACGATGGGTAACGATGGTTGCCCTCATTAATAGCATAGGTTGGTCCAGTAAAAAATTTCTGCCTCTTTCAGCAATCGGGTGGGTGAACTTGGCTTGGAATTGGTAGCTAAGCAGGTAACTTAAGCATAAGTTTGCGTTAAGATTTTCCATATAAATGCGAAGTGAGTTTCCGAACTCTGTTTCTATATGTAAATTGCATTACGCAATTTAATCTATGATAAAAGTTTGCTGATGGTTCTTAACTGGGCTGTGATTGTGATGAATCATTGAGTTTTTATTTAACATTTAGTTCTACTAGTTATATAAACCTAAATGAAAGAACTTTCAATTGATACACTTATTTATACAAGCATATCTTCGTATACGAGGATATACATATATGTGTTCTTAGAAATGTGCGGAGGTACGCATATATTTAATATACATTAGTCCTGTACGGGAGATGATGATAGGGTGGCGTTTAACTGTAACCAGTTCGATAGAAAATATAAAAGGCGTAAAGGATACGCTGAATATCGCAGTTGTTATTGAAAGTTTGTTGCGAATAGGTCTTGACTCTTTAGATATTTGTTTTCTGTTTGGTTCTGTTGGGGAAAAAATAAAAATGAGTGCTTCGGGCAAAAGCCTACTAGGATTGTGGCTATATCGTAGCGGTGAGCAGGAGTGGGCTATTAAACAAGGCAGTCCATTGCATAATCTACCATCGAAACGAGACAAATCGGATGCGTTGGGCATTGTGAGTTTTCCATCCAACACTTCACGCCGTAAGGAAATTTAATTCAATCATAATTTTTATTATGTTATAAGAACAAAAGCGATAGCAGCTCAAAAAATGCGAAAGATACAAGTGATATTGATTGGCAAAAGAACAATTCGGGCGGAGATAGGGTGTCCATTATATTTACCTTAAAAAATCAAGTCGGTAATTTGGCTCGTGCTCTACAGGTCTTTCAAGAGTTAGGAATAAATGTTCTACATTTGGAGCTATCGCCTTTGGAAACCACCGAAAATCAGGTACACTTCAATATCTAATGGACGCGATAGCAGGAGCTTTTGTTTAAAAAATGCATCTTTAAGGCGGACGTTCTTGTGGACGTTGAATGTGATACCAGGCGTTTGGAGCAAGTCTTGCAAATGTTAAATCGAGAAGTGCAGTCAGTAAATTATACTTCATTGGATAGGAATACTGTAGTTCGAGCACCTTCATTATCCGCTTGTTCCAGTTTCGGTAAACAAAATCATTTTTAAAAGAGAAATGCTTATCCTCCCTTAATCGTCGCTTAAAGATTTTGGTGATATGGTGTGGTTTCCACGAAAAATTTCCGACCTGGATAAAGCTCAAAATGTATTGATGTACGGATCTGAGCTCGATGCCGATCATCCGGGTTTCAAGGATCCTATTTATCGTAAGAGACGGGAACAATTCACAGCAATTGCAAAAAATTTCAAACAGTAAGTGTGAGCGGATTTGAATGCGAAAGAGTAAAAATTCAGAAAGTACTTTAGAGAAAGAGTCCGATATTAGGTTGCGATATATTTGAATGTATCACTCACGTCTTTTTAAACGTTCAGAAGGTACAGTTCATTGAGCGGATAGCTATATGGTTGATGCTACGATGTTCGAGCACGATATCTTTTACTGACTTGCATTTCGCTATGCACTTGTCTTCGATTTTACATTTTTTTCCACATTTTTAACTATTCCGTTACATCGTCTATGAATACGTATAAGTCTTGACGAGCCAGCTTTGAATTTAAAATGCTATAAAGTATATACATATATACTTTTTTACTATTATCAAACTCTGAATCGATTTAAGCATGTCCGTCTGTCCATCTAAGTAGTGTCTGTGGCAAACATTTTGGTCGCAAAAATTAAGATCTCGGGGTCGAATATGGGAAATCGTGCAAGCGACACGTCTACAGCGTAATCTAAACTAAAAACACATCTAGTTTCGGTGTTTTCTGTCCGTTACTCATAAACTACAATAGATGAGCGACTAAAAATTCCTACATATGTTCGACAAACACGGAGAAAGTCAGCCACGGCCAATCAATATTATAGAGCAGGAAAATTCAGCGTTTATATGTATATATATATATATATATATATATGTAAGACTGTGGTCCGAATTACACCACTGCTTTCAATGTTGCCAAAATGTCTGCAGTGTAAAATTCGAATAAAAAAATAAGTGGACAGACGGACAGCCAGTTAGAAAAATTTAATTGGTTCAGAAAATGAATTATTTAAATCGATCGGTGCAATGAAAAGGTGAATCCATTCATCCATGTGTTGCTTACATTCGCACTTAATGGACCCTATTCCATAAGTTTCCGAAAACTCTCCTAAGCCGACTTGAAAGCAAAATTTCTTTCCTTACATAGATACGTAAGCTGAAAAATTTGCTCACGTGACCGCACGTAAAGAACTCATTTATAGACAATCATCCGAGTGGTTACAGGACGTCAGACTTTTCTGAATTTTAGGTTAATTGTGTAGAGCTAATGAGATGATTTGCGTAAAAACACTTTGAACAAAGAGCAATGTAAACTTTTCTTTATCTATCGTAGCGGTAATCCGATTCCACGTGTGCAGTATACTCCAGAAGAAATAAAAACCTGGTAAGTTTGATAAAAAAGAAAGACTATTATCATTTTTGTATTCAATTCAAAAGGACATGTCTGGGCGGGAGATCTTACACTAGAGGGCTGAACAAATCTGAACCGAATTTCATTTCGCATGTTCTCTATGGTTAGATCAGATGGTCACGAAATTTTAACAGGAAACTTGAATTTATGCTTTTAAGTTACGCGTCCAGTTTGGTTAGAAGAATTGCCCAATTTGTTGGCGAAGAAGAAAGCGTGTTTTACTTCTTCATCCGAAAGCCTTTAAAAGACGAAATTGCAATAAATGGCTTTTGGTTTTATTGTAAGCGCCCCTTACCAAACGTCGTTTTCAACAGATCCGTTCTCTCGTGGGTTATATGTCGCGTGTCTGTTGAAACCATACGTCACAGGCATTTGGTGCCTTTGATTTATTCCGAACTAATCAAAGAGATGTCTAATCTTCGAGCAGGGCGCGCAAGCGAGAAAATTTACTAATAACGCTTACACGTCCAAAGTCAATGTCCAAGTTTACATTTCGTGAACACACAACTGACGTCTCTAGAAAGTGATTCTATTCTGTTGTCAATAATTTAAATTTTTTAGACATCAATCGAAAAAAAAATATGTATCAGGAATTTATCAGATAATCTAGTTCGGGACAAAAATGAAGCCGATTTTATTTATTCGCCCAAAGTGAGATATATCAAAGAGCTACCTCCGACGCGTTTATATGTTTCTTATATGTATACATTTTTATACCCATTACTAAAGGTTGAAGGTATACTCGTTTTGCTTGAAGCCTCAGAGATTCTATAAAGTATTAATATATTCTTGATCAGCGTGAAATTTTGAACTGATTAAGCCATGTCTGTCCGTCTGTGTGGTATTTGTTGTTGGCACTCTCCTGATCGGAAGAACGAAGATATCCTGAAGGTCTGAAGGTTCGTAGGAACATTGAAAGTTTTCCCACACGGGTTGATATTGAAAATGGTCCAAATTTACTCATTACTCATAAATTTTGAAAATTAAAAGGTTGGACTTTACGTGCAGAAATGGCAAGATTCGGCCATCTTCGGCCACTTCAAATGAAGTTATATTATCTGCCTAAAAATGGCGCGAACTTTCTTAATAATACCAGCGGTATGGGTGTCAAATAAACGAACTTGGAGAATAGAATGCGGGAAGCTAAGTGTGCTAATTCCGAATGAATTGTGGTAGACGTTATGACTTAGTGCATATATGTTCGATATAGGTATCAAGTGAAAGGAGCCGGAGGGTAGAGTGCGTTAAAGTGTGTTAGTTATAGTCTTGGGTCGTTTAGAAAAAATCGATTTCTTGCTCATTAAATTCTTAGGTGGATCAAGTGTTCAAGTGTGGTAGGTATGCGACATTCGGTCGCTACCGAATGTAACTGTCTTACTTGTTCTTATATTTATTATTAAGGTCAGTAGTATTTCGGGAATTGCACCGTTTATATGTGAAGCATGCTGTACCGGAATACATGGAAAACTGGCCACAATTGGTGAGCTGCTGTGGTTATCGGGAAGATAATATACCGCAATTGCAGGATGTTAGCAATTATCTGAAACGTAAAACGGGTTTTCAATTGCGTCCAGTAGCGGGTTACTTATCACCGAGAGATTTTTTATCGGGATTGGCCTTTCGGGTATTCCATTGCACTCAGTACATAAGACATTCATCGGATCCGTTTTATACACCTGAACCGTAAATACTGAGTTTATGAAAAAAAAAAAAAAGAACAATAACTTTATAAGTCATTTACAGAGATTGCTGCCATGAGCTGCTGGGCCATATGCCTCTATTAGCAAATCCAAGTTTTGCTCAGTTTTCGCAAGAAATTGGTTTAGCTTCCTTAGGCGCATCGGACGCTGACATAGAGAAACTTGCTACGGTAAAATATTAAATAAAAAAAACACATATATATATAATATTTTTATCTTTGTCACGAATTTTCATCTTTGCATTCACATCTTAAGTGGAAAATTTATTAAACACAGCTAAAGTCTGACTCTAACTTGATGTATGTAATGAATTTTTTAGTTATATTTCTTTACTGTCGAATTTGGTTTATGCCATCAACCGGATGGCTCTTTTAAAGTGTATGGGGCCGGTCTTTTGAGCTCTGTGGCAGAGCTTCAACATGCCATTTCTACCAAAGATAAAATTAAGAAATTTGACCCAGAGGTAACATGCAAAGAAGAGTGCATTATAACGTCATATCAAAATGCCTATTATTACACGAATTCTTTTGAGGAAGCAAAGGAACGCATGCGGTAAGTACACGCGAAGTGAGTGCGTAAACTCGATTTTAATTTACATTTTAATACCTTCTACCAAATATACGATCTCTAAACTGCTAGTAATGCTTTTTATATTGATTACAGAAGGGTGTGGGGGACGGGTGGGGTATATTCAATTTGTCAAAACATTTGAATCGTCCAGAAGGAAGCTTCGCATACCCCACAAAGTATGTATATTCTTGCATGTCCGTCTGTGTAATGTCTGTTGTAGACATTCTCCTGGTCGCAAACATGAAAATACCGTCTTCAAATGTGACAAGAACCTAGGAAGTGCTTGCACACAGGTCGCGTATTGAAAATGGGCCAAACCGGTCGGAGGTCACGCCCGCAGCACCATGTAAACTGAGAACACCTTTGTTTTTCAAAGGGAATGAAAAATTGTTTTTTTTTGCTCATTACTTATAAACTATAGCAAACAAATCTACAAAATGGAGAAAATTGACCACGCCTATCCAATATTATAGCGCATCAGAATTTTTTTTAATGGTTTTCTTCAAACTATAAGCTTTATAACCGATCTCTATACCTATATAGGAGCGAGCTTCAAAAACCCCTTAAAGTAAACAAATTCTTGGCCAGTTTCAAATTTCAAATGCACCTAAACATGTCTGCCTGTCCATCTGTCCATCTGTCTGTTTGCGCAACTTTGTGATAAACATTCTCCCGTTAGCGAAAATGAAGGTAACGCCTATACATTTGCACAAGAATATGGAATTGACCTAAACGTTTCAAAGTACACTTCCATAACGCCCGCATGCCTAACTTTTATTTTGAAAATAGAAAGAATCAGCTGCGCCCACTCCATATTATAGAGCACGAAAATGTTGTTCTTCTACTCCATTTGTCTTTGGTGGTGGGTACAAAAAACTCCGTCCCGATCGAATTTTATATTTTTACTTAATTTTTTTGTTAATGATCGCCTTTACACGTGTCAAAAAAAAACCTTTTACGCAATGTATTCGAAATATTTGTAATATAAGTCTGAGACTTACTATCGGAAAATCGTCTCTATATCGAACCATTTAAGAGTTGGCCATTCCCCCCAATCATCTTTTCATATCATTCTGAAATACGTGAGAGATTATTTAGGTTGAAAAAAGAGATGCGAAAAAGTCACAAGGTGATATTAATCCTTAAGGGGAAGAAACCGATTGCTTTATTAGCTCTATTTTGACTGGTTGTGTATTTGGTAAAGGTTCCAGATCATGTTCAATGCTCAAATAATTGAATAAAGAAAATATGCACATATGTTAATAATGAGTTTATTGTATTACTCGCAGAAAATTTGCTGATAGTATACAAAGACCATTTGGTGTGCGTTACAATCCGTATACGCAGAGTGTCGAAGTATTGTCGAATGCCCAAAAGATAACTGCAGTTGTGAGCGAACTTAAAGGGGACTTGAGCATCGTTTGTTCAGCTCTGCGCAAAATTTCTGCTACTGACGAAAGCCTCAATGTTGATAGCATCACTAATATGCTACAAAGCACCTTAAGCGATCCGGAAAATCTGTAGAATAGTCTATGGAACGCAAAAAGTCGAAACAAAAACTATATTATGGACCAATAATATTAAAAATGTATTTACTTCTCTTTCCTGTAATTGTTAACGCTTTACTTATATGTTATATAAATTATTATGTAAATGCATGTTCCTTATGTAAAAATATACATTTATTCGATTCTATTGAACCGGAGTGATTTTATTAAATCTAAATAATAAGAAGTAAGAACATTATAGTCGGTCAAAGCCGGCCATTAGATACTCTGCACAACTTCGTCTAGTATCGTTATTCATTCGTTTTGGCAATGATACACCGAATATTACACCGAATATTTTCACGAAAGCTCGCATATTGGAGGAATCCTTATATGCGATGGTATTCAAAAAATAGACCTACCTGGTTCAAATCCGGTAAATTTGATTTCTATGTTCTTCTCTTTTTATACCCATCACCGAAAGATAAGGGAAATATTAAAGACTATACAAAGCTATCGATTTCAAATTTGGCAGAAACATTGGAAGCCTTTGCATGCAGGTTGGTATTGACAATGGGCCTAATCGTTCGAACGTAGCACGTAAACTGAGGACACCTCTGTTTTCTAAGAGGAATAAAAAGAGTTGGCTTTTCGCTCATTACTCATAAAGATAATGAAGATACATTCTATGGCCAATGCTGTAGTACTTGTACAAAGATGGAAACATTGACCACGCCTATCCAATCTTATAATGTATCAAATTGTAATTTTGCGTCAATACCTTTATAACGCGCAGAAGCAAACTACAAAATCCCCATAAATGAATATAAATTCAGTTTCAAATTTAGAAGGCATCTGGGAATGTCCGTCTAATCGTCTCTTCATTCGTCTGTTTGCCCAATCGTGTAGTGTCTGTGCTAGACCTTCTTCTGTTCGCCAAAATGAAGATATCGCCTACAAATTGGCAAAAGAATTTGGGACTGAGTTGAACTTTCCTAAGGACACGTTTACAACGCCCGCCCGCCTAAGCGCCAAAAATCTTTATTTTGAAAATAGAAAAAAAATCAGCTGCGCCCACTTCATATTATCGAGCGTGAAAATTTAGTTCTTTTACTTTTTTGTCTCTTTTAGAACAACGTTGATGGGTATAAAAGATTCGATCGTGATCGCGAACACAATCTTCTTACTTGTTTCACATGAATTTTGAAGAGTTCGTGAACGTAAATGCGTATAGCGTTACTTTTCAGTTTGATGCCAAATGACGTAATTGGTATAGCATTTCAATGTTTAAATCAATTAGTTGAAAAATTGGATCCGTATTATCGTGGATGTTATGGGCCACTTATCAATTTCTTTGTGTCAATTTTCGAACGTCGCTGAAATTTTCACTGTAGCGTCATGCGTGTTACAAAGTAAAATCTTATTAAACAGCTTCATGCTTCAAACAAAACTTGGGAGGTGAAACCGTTAATTTAAACGAAACGCACACTGATGAATATATCTGAGTTTCGATGCATAGCATAGAACATTTGCAAAGTCAAAGGGAAAGTCAATACATTATCGTAATGGTCGATAGAATATAGGACTAGGATTTGCTAATCTAGGCAAACTAATCACGTAGACTGAGATATATGCCTTAGTTCTGCTATTAGATAAGTACTATCTAGGTTATGCATTTCCCCATCCATCATCGAGGAAAAGAAGTGCAAATCGAAATATATCGGATATCCCATAAGGTAATTGTGTTCTTCACCATTCCACGTCTCTGAATGGACTTGGGCATATTTGTTTATTCGTCTATGTTGTCTATGCCTCTACACGAGTGCTTCTACACGTGTAAAAAAACTTTGAATTGCAGTTTATATCAAATATCTTGACTCCGCATATACTATAAATGCTGAGTGAAGGAAAATGTTCTATGCATTTTTTTGGTTTTTTTTGCCCCACAACTCGAACCTATTATATTCCTTAGGGTTAACATGAATTTTATTAACCAAACCGATTAAACCAAATATTAAGCTATCACTGCACTGATTTTCTGGGATGTCTGGGAGCCATAAACTGAACAAAGTGACTTTCACAAACATTTTTCCATGTTTATATGTGTGTGCTCTAGTATTTTCATGATAGAGAACAATGGCTTTTCAACTGATTCGTTTCAAGCGCTTTGGCTCAATTGCGCGGCTTAAGCGCGTTACTTATTGATGAGAGGTAGCGTAGATATGTCTGGCGAGATTTGAGAGAGTCATCATGCCAGCTACCCCTTTCAATTTCACCAAACACGATGCATAACATTGCACGGTGACCGTCGGATCTTTGCAACGGCTTTATGCCGCTTCATTCAGCTTGAGCCATGATCGTTTTCCCATTATATTGTCGTATGTGAAAATGAAACGATTTCGCCTTAGCAACGACTTAGCCTTAGCAATTCATGTGGTGTCCAAATATCGAGTTTCTCTCCCACTTAATCTTAAGGATATGATTAATAGCTTTCCAGAACGAAAGTCACCGAATCATTTGCTTGCTGTTAATTTTGATAAAGCATTTTCGCTGTAAACGCTACGATTTTTTTCTCATAATTAAAAATGCTTATGGCTTTGGCCGATTGAAAAAAAAAAAATAAGCGATTTTTTTGAAAAATTTGGTTCATTTTCAAATCGCAACTCCTTTCGACTGAATTACCCAATATTACAATATTTTTATAGCCACTTTCGAACGATGGAGTATATCTTAAAAATGTCCGTTTGCCTATCTGTCTAGAGATATAACGTCTATTGCATACATCTTGATAATCGCAAAAACGAAGATAACGACTTCAGTTTCTTCTACAAAACATTGGAAGCTCGCTCTTATGCGAAGATTAATATTGAGAATAGCCCAGATCGGTCGTAGGACGCGCCTAGAGTATAACGTAGGGTGAGAATATCACTGCTACTAAGTTATTCTTCGATGAGTTTTTTTTTTTTTACTTATGAGGTCGTGACTAATAAAGTTTTTCAGTTTTTAAGTTAGTTATTAGTAATAATTGACAAATTTAATATATCATCGAAGGGAAAATGGAGGGAGGGAGAGAATCTCTTCAAGAGTTATACATTTATTTTAATTAATTTAATATTTTTTATTTATCTTATTTATATATCATTTATATATCATATCACAGTCACTATTTATCATAACTTTTGTACATAAAAAATTTATTAAACACTCGAGCACGTATTCTGGAAGAGACCATATATTGATTGTACAGTAGGAGGACAAGCGACTTTTTATTCCATTCAAGATGTTAAACAAATCGAAATTGGGCGACCAACAGTGTGTGATGGGGACTTTAAGTTTTCCTTTAATGATTGACTTCGGATGCTGCGATTTTTTCGGAGGAGGAGGAGGAGGTAACGGTATTAATTTGTTCCGAACTTGTACACGTGTAGCGATTTCAATCTGATCCACCGTCTCACAGATTTCCTTATTGCTAACAAGAATTCCGCCAACAATGTACATTAATTTGAAATATCTGTAAAAGAATTGTTTTTTTTTTTGTTTTTGTTTTTCTTTAAAAGCATTATTTAATTAACGGTGATTTTCAAAGGCGATATTAGTTTCTTTCAAGCCAAACTAAGACCTTTATCTTTAGGTTAAAAAAAAAATAAAAAAAAAAATACATATACTTTTACCTTAGTTGACTTGGAAGAGAACCACACCGCGCGGTACTTAATAATTTTCATTTGATTTATTCAAATCAAATAAACACACACATATGCATACCTGACAGTGTGTGATATCATATTTCGATGTATTTTATTGTCTCCTTCTTTTGCTTATTAAAATTTATTATTATTTTTGAAAGACAAATCAAAAATCAATTTTTGAAAATTTATGCTTTCACTGAATATTCCTTCAAAAATTTTTCGCTTTTAACAAAAATTAAAGAAAAAGAAAAGTTATGTGACAATTGCAAATTTAATAGAAAACAACAGATTGCCGTTTGGTGAAAATGTGAATTGAATGCCGTCTTAATGAACTTTGTTCTCTTTCGCTTCGAATTGATATGAAAAATTAGAAATTAAAAAAAAAAAAAAAAACAAAAAAAAAAAAAAACGTACTCTGTGAATCAGCTTTTCCAACATATGATGCTCCGAACGTTACTGAATTTTCGATTTGCTTCATAATCTTTGTCTGTTTTTAAAGACACAAGATCGCTGATATCGCTGTAAAATAATTATTGAGCACAAGTGATAACCAAATTGTTTCATAGCTATATTGCTATTGAATATGAAATGTATTAATTTCGTTGTGCTAATTGCAACGGTCACGTATGAGTGCAAAAAAAAAATATTTATATATAATCTGGATATTATTATGGGCTTTCGAGCCGATATAGTCGATAAGTCATTCGTTCATTTAATTGTAAGTCATGTATAATCTCATCATGTATAATAATGCAGATCAGAATTAATTTGAAAGAAGAAGAAAAAAATTGGAAAAAAAATCGTATAAAACTAGAGAAAGTATGCCTTTAAAAATTAATTGAAATGAAAGAGAATTTATCAAAGCTACGACCGTATAACTGATGATTTTTCAAAGAATATTGATTTTTTTTTAAGGGACACTTGCATCAAGCCATGCCAATGTATTAGATTGCGTGGAAATAGCTCAAAGAGTATGGCTTGTAGATTGTATATGAACGGAAAAAATGAGTCTTTCGCACATCATTGCGGATGTTGCGCCATCTTGATGTACTGTCATATTATAAAATCGACGTTTCTAGGGGAGACTATTATTACTATTATAACTTAAATCTTTTGATGAATTGAGATTTTTCATCGACAATGCCTTATTGCGATTGCAAATAAATGGACAGCAGTCAGTCAGTCAGTCAGTCAGTACGTCCTGTGTCTTGGCCTTTAACTGCAAGAAATTGACGCAGAGCGTTTGAAAGCGTATATAGCTTTCCTTGCGTGCTTGTTTTTATAAAGAAACAAAAAAGTTAAATGATTGTTGCGTTAATTCGAGCTTTTAACATTATTTATAGAAATAATTGACGTCTGGTAATGATAAGATTCAATTTTGTCAGTTTCTCTCTCTCTCTCTCTCTCTCTCTCTCTCTCTCTCACTCTTTCTCTCTTTCTCTTTATAAATATTTGATTTCATTTTAATCATCTTTCAGATTAATATTTTTGTGGTGTTGACAAGCCACTCCTATGTAAAACCAAACTCGAATGAGAAGCGATGATTCAAGCATTCATTCCAATGGTTGGCATAATTATTGCCCAACAAATTTCTTTATATTCCATGATACTTATGCCTAGCCAAGTATTTAAGAAACGAACGCTAGAGAAAATTTATATATGACCATTTCCCGTATAATGATCCGTTTGAAAGAAGCCATCACATAAGAAAAACTCTTCATACACTAAACGGATGTGGAAAATTTGGATGAGATAACGCACTTATCTGACAACTCTCTCTTTGTATATACATATAAAAAAAAAAAAAAATTATATATATAAGTGTGTATGTATATATAAAATTTAATACTAAGAACTTTGATTACAAGTAATGCTTCACATAGCAACAAGGTACAATTATTCATATTTTCCGGTAAAGATAGGCGAAGTATTATTTTAGGCAAACCGATAGGTAGGGTATTTAATGGAAAGACTACCCTGACTATAACGTTTCAAATTTTTCGTGGTTTAGCTAAGGTAATCGAAATTTTTGACATGAAACGGTTACGCTTGGAAGCAAATAAATTTTGTTAAGCGAACTTTTCACATAAGCGCCTCCCAAAAAAAGTTTTTGTTTCTGATCTTGCTTACTTCTTATTGCTTATGCATATTTTTCAATTTGTGTTTATTTCGTTTGTATTCCTTTTCACTTCTTCTGCTTTCGAGAGAAGTAATACATTTTAAAAATGTATTACGGGTAACGAAATAAAAATACGTTTGTACCTTTTGTGAGCAACTTTTTTTACAAACTTTTTAACAAGGACTTTTTCTGTGTACACAACCAATCATAAGTAAAAATTGGGATGAAGATGACAATGACATATTTGCCTCCATAATTTTAGATCAAAACGAAAAGATCAATAACTCTCCCAATATATCTAAGTTCCAAGAAAATAAGCAGATAATCTAAGGTATAGCATTGATATTCCTCACACTTTTTTAATGCTAATTTTTATAATTTTTTTTTTTATTTCTGCATGTTTTGTCAACAGCGAATGGTAAAAAAATCTCCGTATCGGAAGAGAGGAAAATATCTATACAAAATATTCTAAGAGAATTTCAAGATGATTTGCTGGAAACGGATTATGAAACTGAATTAAAAGATATAAAAGCTCGGATATCGAATAGAAGTATGGAATCCAAGTTTAGAACAACCGCAACCAGAAAAAGAATAATGGCTCCAACCAAACTGGGCATTCGACTTTAAATGTCACAAAATTTCGTAAAAAGCACTTGTTGCCATTGAATCCTAAATTTAATTTTAATTAACCCATCGTCTAGTTGGAGCTTACAGCAACCTTGGAGCTTTTTCAACCGCTTTGATTTATCATTGGGAATACCAAACTGGCCTTTCCTGTTGCTGTATATTAATTTATATAATTTATATTTAAATATATAAATAAAATAAATAGCTTTATTATACATTTAAAATACTTTATTAATATATATAAAAATATATAAAAAAGAAATTGTTATTCTTTTTAATGTTTTCCTGATTGTTTCCGATTCTTCTTCCTTGGCTTGGTCGCTTTTGCTCTTCCATCATCTCCTCTTCTATCATCATCTCTCGATGTATATATTAGTTTGGGGAAAAAGAAATCCATTATTTTTCGGTAGATGGCTGCACTGATAGATTACTCGTAAAGTATCGATCAAACAATTTCAGATTTATGCTCGTTGGAAAGGTGACATTTCGCAG